TTCTGATGAACAGACAGCTGGAGAAAGTGTGACTCTGGGAAACACTGACCTACAGCTAGAGAGCCTCTTCTGCAAGCTTGAGGGTGAAGGGGGCAGGCATGGCATACCATTTGTATTTCGGGATCTACCCAGACAAGAACTGTCAAAGACAAAACAACACATCAACAGCTAAAGACTGTGGTCTTCCTCCCTCCCTCCACTTCACTTCCTCACCTAGCCATCTTCCTGGATATGTTTTTAACACTAAGTCCCTGGGTCTTACATTCTGAGGGATTTTACTCACCTTAATGGTTTGTTTGTTTTTTGGTTTTTTGTTTGTTTGTTTGTTTTGTTTTGTTTTGTTTTGTTTTTGGTTGGTTTGGTTTTTCTGTATAGACAGTGTTTCTCTGTATAGGCCTGGCTATCCTGGAACTCAAATAGACTTTGGTACATTTAGGAATCACCACCAACAAACAAAAAGAAGAAGGAGAAGGAGAAGGAGGAAGGAGGAAGGAGAAGAAGAAGAAGAAGAAGAAGAAGAGGAAGAGGAAGAGGAAGAGGAAGAGGAAGGAGAAGGAGGAGAAGGAGAAGAAGAAGGAGAAGAAGAAGGAGAAGAAGGAGAAGAAGAAGAAGAAGAAGAAGAAGAAGAAGAAGAAGAAGAAGAAGAAGAAGAAGAAGAAGAAGAAGAAGGAAGAAGAAGAAGAAGAAGAAGAAGAAGAAGAAGAAGAAGAAGAAGAAGAAGAAGAAGAAACTTTTCCTTGCTGATTTTAAAAATCTCAAAGATCCAAGGAAGCTACTGGGTTGGTGAAGTGCTTGCCTTGTAGATAGGAAGACCTGAGTTAATGGATCAGAATCTACAAGGAAAAATGCCAGGCACGATGCTACATGCATGCTTGGGTTTTTTGTTTGTTTGTTTGTTAGCTGCTGGCGGTGATGTTATTTTGGAAGGGTTCTGGTGAGATTTTAAAGATTTTTTTTCTATTCATAATCTTTCCTTTGTTAATGAAAAGGAAATTTTCATACACTGCATCCTGATTATGGGTTCTCCTCTCCCACCCCCTCCCAGGTATGCTTGTAGTCACAGTACTGGGGAGGCAGGGACAGACAGACTCCTGGGGCTCACAGGTCAGCATATACAGCCTGCTTAATATGTTCCAGGCCAGTGAGAAGCCCCGACTCAAAGAAATGGTGGATTGCACCTGATGAATGACCCCTCTACTTGTGCACACCTGCACACATATGTACATACACACACACACACACACACACACACACACACACACACATGCACGCACTCACACATAGATCTCAAAGAAGAGTATGCAATTTAGTCAGTATTTCATGTTTTGTAAACTTGAAGCTTTCACAATTGCTATGTTATTAGTATCTAAAAGTGCAGATTTGAAGACCACTAGCATTGGCTAATCACAAAAACAATCCACTAAGGGCAGGGGTCTTTCGAGTCTTTAGACAAGCAGCAAATAACCTAACTTTATAAAATGTTTGACCAACAGTGTAGACTCAGCTTGGGGTATTCTGAAAAGGAGAAGCCGCAACAAGACTCATGCAGGCTTGCCAAATCAAACTCTGCTGGCTCTGCCCCCAGAACTGTAAGTCCCTTGTTCCCACAAAGGCCAGCTGCCAAGACAGCCCTGAGGACAGACAGACTCGAAGAACTAAAATATCCTTTCCATCTAGTTTTCAGCTACAGTCCCTCTTGATAAACACATGGCTCATTCTTAGTACTAGCGAAAGAACAATTTTTGACGCAAACACCTTAACATTCAGGAGAGTACCCTAAGAATGGCTTCCAAACAGAGATGACAAACAGCTACCGAAGCCAACCGTACTTGAGTCGGTCGAGAAGCGGTAAAGAGGCACAAATCGTTCTTCCGAGGTTGTCTCATTTTCAGTGACCTTGGGTGAGCCTGCAGATTTGTGTGTCCCTGTGTGAGCACACTGTGGGCATATTCGTATGTTTCTGTGTGTGTGAGTGCACATGAAGGTACAGGCAGAAGCCGTTCCCAGGGGCTGTCCATCTTGTTTAGTTGAAACAGTCTCTCCCTGGGTGAGGGCTCACAGGTCGGTCTACGCTAGCTAGGGACCCACTGCTTCTGTCTCCCTAGTGCTAAGATTATGAGTGCATGCTACCAAAGCCAGAGCTTTCATGGGGATTTGGGGAACCAAACTCCATTCCTCATGCTTATACTGCAAACTTTATCAACTGAGCTATCTGCCCCAGCCCTTTAGGGAAACATCAGTCAGGTTCATAGAATGCTGTAATTTATAAAGTAGAACTATAACTTCAGATAGGAAAAAAAATCAGATTATTTTATTCTAAAACTGCACTGATACCAAATACTACAAACCTGATATGATTTAGTACTCTACAAAACATGGCATAATTTTTGAAAACCTGTGTCAAATGAATTTAAAAGTACCTAAAAGTCAGTCACCAGGCTCTTGGGCCCAGTTTTCACCCCCAACATGAAAGGCTTCCTGCGGGGCTGCCTTAGATCTCACCTCAATCCTCAATTCCAAAGTCAAATCTTTGTCCTCAGTCCTCCCGCACAAACACTAATAGCATTATTTCCTATACCTATTCATTTGTATAAACTATATTGGGCTGCTCCAGAGTTGGTAACCAGTCCTAACTGTCTTCAGATCCCTAAGACTCTCACAGTTATTGGCATGGAAAAAAGAAATACAGTATTAAATATTTTTTTCCTCTTGAGACACAAATAGGAAACCATGTCAATTTCTACTCTCAAGAGAAAAATCATTCATGCAAACAAATAATTATAAGATGTTTGCTTTCATGACACGTGTAGCATTGTGAAACATAAGATGTACTAGAAAATTACAGGCAAGAGCCCTGTCAATTTTCGGGGAGGGGGTATGGGCTTCATAGAACTGCCTGTTCAAGTAAATGTTGACTGAATGAATAAATTTTGAGGAAGAGCATTATTTAAATTCACAGTAGCCATAAAACTCTTTTGTTAGGAATGGTGAGGATAAATGGTACATACACTATGATGGTTTGAATGAGAAATATCCTCTATAGGCTTGAGCATTTGAAACAGTTAGTCCCTGGCTGCTGATGCTATTTGGACAGCTTTAGGTAGTGTGTTTAGCTGGAGGAAGTATATCACTGGGGAGGAGCTGTGATGTTTAAAGACACCTGCCTTGCCCATTTGGCAGTTTCTGCTTGTGCCTGAGGTTTAAGATGGGAGCCCTCTGTTGTTCTAGCTGCATGGCCTGATACCTGCTGCCTGCACTCTGTAATCATAGACTGCTATCGCCTTGGGACTCAAGGCCAAATAAGCCCTTTGTTCTATAAGTCACCTTTATCATGGTATTTTATTACAGTGTTAGAAAATAACTAATACATATGAGAACGCAGACATTTCATAGAAGAGCACAGACAAATCCGACAACCATGCCTTCAACAAGCTATCAAAATTATCCTTTTTGGAAAAATGCAAGCAATAAAAAAATTACATTTAAATGGAAAACGGGGTGGGGGGCATGGAGAGATGGCTCAGCAGTTTATAGCGCATAGTGCTCTAGTGCTCTAAAGAGGACCCTAGTTCAATTTCCAACTCCCACATCAAATGGTTCACAGCCACCTATAACTCCAGTTCCCAGGGAATGCAATGCCCCTGGCCTCTTCTGGCATTGGCACTCATAGGTCCATACCTCCACACACTATGTACATACCCACACACAGACACATAATTTTAAAAAGAAATCTTTAGATGGTTGACTAGGGACAACAATTATACAACAGCAACAATTGAAAACCATCTAGACAATGAAGACAAAAGCATAACATAAAATAAAATGGGTAGAAATCCTTGTGAATGACATAACCTAGATGATAATGAAGCTGAGGCCATGGTGGGTACTCAGAACTGGAGTCAAGAGGTCTGTGATAACATTCCATGACCTCAGGCAGTCTCTAACCAGAAACAACTCGCATCCTAGCATATAGGGGGAAATGGCTTCTTTAGGCCGACCCCAGAAGAGCAATAGTATTATTTCATCTAGTGAATACCTCACTATCTCCCGAATGTGCCAGCCACATTGTGTACTTTCTACTTCACATATGTGGTGTGCAAAGAGGCTGGACTCAGATACACAGTTTAGTGTAAACATAACTTTCCCAGTTATCAGAAGAACTCAACTTGGAGTTATAGTCAAGGTCAAAATTCTAATAAATCACACGGACCTAAACCAAGGAACAAACGCCTCTGCACATCTCAATATTCCTGTTCATATGAGTACCTTCCCACAGATGACTGTTCTTTCTTGATGTCTAACAACAACACAGTAAATTCCCTGGAGTGTTTTCACTTTCTTAAAACACACCTGAGTCGATGAATGAAAAGCCACAATGACCTACAGACCTGACTGCAAGAGAGCAGTTGAATGCACTCTTCTTCGTTACACAGCAATGGGACAGACTGAGGACACTTTCCATCTCCCAACACACACTAACACAGTATTCCTTTCCAATGCAGAACTGAGAGAGAACTTCCTGATGATGAGAGTAATAAACAATGGATCTTAGGTCCGACCCGAATTAAGCCTGTGGTCCCTGGAGGTAGTTGTTGGTCTAGGGTCTATCAATAGCCCTCCTAGGCAGTCAGAGCTCAGTCCATGCTCATGAAAGAATGGCTGCATAATCCTGTGATGTCATTACTGAAATCTAATTGGCTCATAAATCAGGATCTATGCATATTAAGTATATTGTCAAAGTATAGAAAAGATTTAAGGGTAGGAAGACATCTAAAAAAGAAAAGGCCATTTTTTTTCTTCCAAGTTGGAGGGAGAAGCCTATAATTAATAATAATAATAATAATAATAATAATAATAATAATAATAATAATATCTTCAGAACTTAGAAGGGGAAAAGCTCTCATTTTATGTCAGATAGCATCATGGTCACAATGGTAAGACTGTTACAGTTACAAGAAAGGCCAAGCCAAGTGAATCCCAAGCCCCAGCAGTAATTGTACCTGAATGGAAGATAAGGGGGGGTTGAGCCAGACAGGAGCGCTCTGTAGGCTTCTTCTGGCGTCTTCTTTAAGTAGATGACCTATAGTAGACAAACAATAAATAACATTTAGAACACTACACAAAACTAACTTAACTACTCAGCAAACGTGTGTTTTGTTTCTTCCCCTTGGAGTCACAAGCCATGGAGAAGCTGTTGATCTCTCGTTTGTTTCAGGCCTTTATTTTCATTATTTTGTTTTTATTTTGGTATTATTTTTGGTTTTGAGATGGGGTTTCCATCTCTGTGGCCTGGAACTCACTATGCAGATCAAGCTGGCTTCAAACTCACTGTGGACCTCCTGGCTCTACATTCCCAGTGCTAAGACCACAGGTATATCCCTCCATGCCCGGCCTGTGCTCATTGAACAGCCAAGCAAGTCACCAGCATCACCTTCCAGCTTGAAGCTGAGCAGCCACCATAGGCTTACAAATGGATAGGTATTTAGAGATGGGACATGGCCCTTGAAGAAGCCAACTAGGGTTCACAAACCCCACTGAACAGACACAATGTGAGGTGACAGTTGTACCTCTGTCATTGGTCTCCTCACCAAAGACCAACAGTGGTTTTCTTGCCCCTCCCAGAAGATGGCCAGGAGTTATCTCAGTGTGTGGTATGACAGTCATAACTCACAGTGAACCCTCTAACCAGGGATGTCAAGAGATATCTCTGTTCCAAGAAAAGTTGGTGTGGCTCTCTACAGGCTTGGTGAAATCATAACAAAACTTAATGAACATAAATGCTGCTAAAAACATTAGAAAACACAGGAGCCCTGCTTCCTGAAGCCAGAGACATATTGATAAACTAATAATACATAAACCAACAAGAAAAGATTTATACAACCATAAACAAATTCTATTTAGTAACATATTGTCTAGACTGCACACATCTGTAGTAATATCTTTCTTGTCAAAGGCTTGTCTGGAGATCAGAGGATGGAGCTTGCCATTAACTAACCATAGAGGTCTGGAGATCTATACAGACAGACAGGAAGTGAGATGGCTGGGCAGAAACAGGAAGTGAGATGCTGAAAGGAGAGAGGACATAACCAAGAAGAAACAGGAACTCGCTTTCTTGTCTATGGTTAGCTAGTGGCAAGCACCATCCTCTGATCTTCAGACAGGGTTTGTACAAGCAAGATATCAGCACACAATCAGGTTCTGTACTGGCACCACCCTTGACAGAACTGTACATTATTGTGGCACAAAGATGATAATTAATAACCAGGGGAGTCTCTGAGAAATGTTCTGGTGACTTTGTTATAGGAAGAAACGTGAGGAGATCAGGGCAAGGGGCTTAGGTAGAACAAAGCTCATGGATAGAGCAGATAGACAGGGGGCAGTGGGGAGGCAGTAGGAAGGACTGGGCAAAGGTGCTGGGGTGGGGCAGAGCTTGTGTTTAGTGTGGTTGGGCAGCAGGGAGCAGGGAGGGAGGCAAGGTGAGAGGTCAGAACAAGACAAGGAGTGAACGCTATAGAGTGTGTTAGGTTTGATTTGGAGCACAATTTAAGATTTGGCTCCTGGAGAAAGGGCATTATTCCTTCTCACCTGTAGTTTCAATCTAACTTAATTAAAAGCCTCTCTACCTAGAACCAACGGAACCATTTCCATTATGTGTTCCAGCATCAAGATCCTATGCATTCAGTTACAAGGCGGGCAAGCAGTCCCGGTTTTTCAAAGTAGGGTTTTCCTTTCTCCCCTCAAAGCACCCTTGAAGTCTTTAAGTCATTCAGTTGGAAATACCTAGCATGCATTCTTTACTTGCTAATGATTTCAAAACTAGTGGCTCTTGTGAATTTTCTAAGAAAAGTAATTTAATAGACCAAAACAAAAACCAAAAAAAGGAAGGAAGGAAGGAAGGAAGGAAGGAAGGAAGGAAGGAAGGAAGGAAGACATCTAGTAGCTGGGGAGATGGCTTAGTCATTAAAGGGCTTGCTTTGCAAGCGTGAGGACCTGAGTTTGATCCCTAGAACCCACCAATATAAATAAATATAAAAACAAGACAGGAATGCTGCTGCATGCCTGCAATCCCAGTTCTGAGGAGGTGGAGACAGGCAGATCCCTGGGGCTTACTAGTCAGCCAGTCTATTGTAACCTACTTAGCAACTTCCAGCACCTTGACTCTAGAAGGAACAATAACAGAGGTATGACACCTGGGTTTGTCACCAGGCCTCACATGCATGTATACATGCACACATATGTGAGGTCAGCCAGCACACAAGTACACCTAACCTCAAGAGCAAATTCCCATATCCTACTGCCCAACAAGGAAAAGGTCTGATGAGGCACACGCCCACCGAAGTGAATGGAGCTGGAAGTACAAACACCACCCAAGATGATTTGCCTTCAGAAGGACTGCTGCCAACAGGAGACACTGGTGATGCTCACTGAGAATCGTGAGCCTCCTTGCAGCTCAAATCACTTTTAAAAACCACTTAAACCAACGCTAGCTTTTGCAGTAACTAGTGCTACAATGTAACTTTACTATACCCTGCTGGGTGGGTTACTTAATAGGGCGGGTGATAAAGCAGTGTTTTCTCCGGCTCAAGGAGGCCACACCAATGTTTGAAACTTGCCAATGGCAGCTACCAGGGAAAGCTGCTGTGTTTGGATTAGATAATTAAAGCTTATACAACCACCATTGAAAAGTAAAATTACATTTCCTCCTAGCAATTACACTAATTCCCTTTCATCTTGAGGCAGTAGTGATGTAGTAGGCTGTCTCCGGTGTCCACATGAAAACCCTTTTCTGATGGGCTACTCCACAGGGATACCCTCCCCATCTTACCTGCATGACTTAGCACACATGAGCCACGTTCTCACGCTGTAAGATGAGAGCCTTTGTTTTTATTTTTATCCCAGTACCAAATTATTAATAGGTGCAAAGTGAAACCCAACAGAGCCCATCTAAATTCCAGGAAGATTCCTGGGGCGTCTGTTATGGGCTGACCTTTTACAGTCTGGAGGGAAGTGCTTAGGGGGAGTTGGGAAAATATTTTCCTCAGACAAGAGTTCATTGTTGAATGATGCATGCATGGTTGCTCATTAAAATACAAAATCCCATTTGTTGCAAGAGTAAATATGCATGTTGCATGCACTCCTATGTCAGATCTTCTTAGATAAGGGGGCACAGAGAGGGCAAGGGAGACAGAAAGACAGAGACAGGCTTGATTGAAGCCTGGAAGGAAGCTAACATTTATGAGCACTGCAGTCAATGAATCTAAAGCAGATTGTTCCAAACCCCCACTGTTGCTCTGTAGCAGAGCTAGTATTTGAACACAGACACCACTCCAAACACCTAGGGGAAAGGACTCTCTTTTCCAGGTTCCTAAAACAATTACTCATGGTACTTTAAGCTATGGAATTTCAAACTGCTAACAATAGAGGTTTGTGAGGAATCCGGGTGAAGTAGAATTGGAGAGAAACGAGCATCCTATTCTATTGTGTTTACGTGTGGGGGTGAACAAATTTGTTTTTTAAATGGGAAGTAACTAAAATAGGTATGAAATGTTTAACACATCATTCTCTAAAAACAGTCCATATTATGAGCCCCAAAGTTGCCCTAGACAAGTCTAATATTTCTAAAAATGTTTTCTAAAACTAATTTCAAAACACCTACTAGATATTCTGATGTGTCTTTTTGGCTTCTAAAAGGGTGTGTGTGTGTGTGTGTGTGTGTGTGTATATGTGTGTGTATGTGTGTGCGTGCGCGCTATATATACTTTCTATCCCACTCACTAGCTATTAACATAATCCAACAGGAAGAATTTCCCCAAATTTTGATTGATACCACTTGAGAAAATCATTAACATAGATAGACAGTGTTTTATTCCATTCCCACTTAGTGAGTGACACATACATTACTTATATAAAACTGTTCTATCATTTCCAGGAAGTCCTAAAATCCTCCTCAATTTAAGAAAAAATTGTTAATATATAGTTACTTATTTTTGACTGAACACAAGCCTGCTAATTAAAATGATTTTTTTCTATTTAACTAAGTTTTCTGCCAGACATCAGATTTTTCCATTTGTTACATACGTGATTTCTGAGAGGTATGATAGTAGCACACACTATTAAGAGATAAAGGGGTTTTATTTTAGAACATAAGAAAAAAATGTAGTACTACAAATAACAATCATCTGTAATGTTTATCAAAAAGCCTGTTATGCCTAAACTTCAATTATATGGACTAACTTTTCTGCCACATACTGACACTCTGTTACCATAAATCAATGTAATTTAAAGTGTTTTATATCATTACAAGTGGGAAATCTGTCACTGAGTCAACACTCAAATGAATATTACAATACATAAAGTTTGAAGCATCTGTGTGTGTCACACACAGATGATGTGTCAAATAACAATTCTCTCCTAATTCCCAGAATACCAGACCACCACAGACATTACTTTAAATGTTCTCATAATTTACTTGCAATGCTCTTAAATTATCTTTTAAGCTAGAGCCTAATGTCACTGGATCTGTAAAGCCTGTAACAATAATATATGTGAATTTCAGAAGCACCTTGGGATTTGCAACTCTGACAATGATTCTTAAAAACAATAACTGCCTTCACATAGAATCCTAAACCAGATCATAAATTTGGTAATGACCGTGGAGACACTGCCTCGAGTCTTATTGTGCTTCTAGCTTTGTTTTGGTGGTGGATTTTTAATAAGAAAAAAGAGTTTACTGTTGGTAGAATTATATTTACTAATACCCTAGATATACCCTTAAAAGAAATCTAAGGTGCTTGTGAAATGGCTCTATAGGTAACGGCACCTGCTACTAAGCCTAAATGTAGCCTAAAAGTTTTAAAGGAAGTCTCTTTTAGGGGGAGCAGTATTGTCCATACTTCAGGTGACCTTGGTTCTCAACTCTATTCAATTTGTGAACATTGGTTTTCTGGAGATCTTTTCTGGGAGAAATTCCATTGACTCAGGAATGGTGAGAATATCAGTTCCAACCCATCATGGCAGCACCAGGCAGCACCTACCTGGGAAAGACCACTCTCACTTCCTGTTTCTCTCTTTTGAACAGGT